TCCAGGAATTGATAGAATACCCATTGAGATGTTTCAACACACGGAAGTAGGATTGCCCAACCTTCCGTCCAAGGAGTGGCTGGTGGATTTGAACCGCCAGCCCTCTGGTTAGCAGGGAAGTGTCTTAGCCACTATGCTACCAGAGCTCCCTTACCCTTTATTTGTTGTTGTTATGTGCCGTCGAGTCGGCCCCGACTCATAGCGACCCCTCCTTGGTAGAACATTAATAGAAGGAACCTGTAATCACTTTCAATCTAACCAATACAGCAACATCATCTCAACAGAAACTGAGAGCAAAGGAGAATTCTGAATCTCAGACTTACAGATAAAGATGTAATGACTGGTTTGATCGAAAGTTATAGAAAGAAGAAATCTATAAACATTCAATGGCAGAATATCTAGAACTGCAATTTTCCCAATATATACTACAATACTATTAATGTTCCCACAAATAACCACTTTTAAAAAATGTATTTACTTATTTTAATTAAAAAGCTAAATTTGTGCCACTGAGCTCTTCTAGCAGGCAAGGGTTATAAGTTGTCACTAAAAACTAACAAACCAATGCCAGTGTACTCTTTCCCATGCTGTGATGTTAAATATCTTGATTTTGAGCAATTATTCTTAATCCTGACTTAACACAACAATCATACCACTTAAAAAAAAATTATCAATGTTTGAGTTTCATCACAATCAAATTAAATTTAAATATCTGAGGGTAGAAGGAAGCTAGATTTTAAAAATCCATTCTCTTATTCTGATGCATTGTCAAAGTTAATAGATAATCTGGAGATGGATTTAGGCCTGTGGCTCTCAACGTAGTACTTTAGAATAATTTGGAGAGCTTTGAAAAACCTCAAATACATGTTGCACTCCATACCAACTAATTAAGGGTAATAGATCAAGGCATCGATTTCAAAAGCTCCTTATACAATTTCAGTGTTTGGGCAAGGTTGTGAACAACTAACTAGGGAGGCATGCAACTCTCAGTTTGTATTGTCTTTTCCATTACATCTCAGTAAAATATTTAAAATTGTATTTGCTAAACGAGCTCTGTCTTTTTAAATTTTTAAGGACACAGAATAAACCATAATATTATGACTCTAACAACATTTAAAGACTTGCTGAAAAAATGTTGGAGTTGGAAAAGTCTTTGAGAGCCCATCTGGTTTTCATTATTTCCATGTAAATTAATGTTTATCTTCTGAGATAAATAAAGGTAAAGGAAATACAGACTAGAACAGCGCTGAAAGTAAAGGAGACAGAAATTAGAGAAAAGCATAATCACAGTAGTATGATTTAGAATGATTAGAAGCTGACAGAAAAACAGTTAATATAAACAGGGTTGTTTTGTGCAGTTGATTTTGACTCATATCAACCTTACAGAACAGAGTAGAACTGCCTGAGAGGGTTTCCTAGGCTGTGATCTTTATAAATGCAGATCGCCAAGTCTTGTCTTCCAAGGAATGAGTAATGGGTGGAACTACCAACTATTTTGTTAGCTGTCAAGTGCTTAAACAGTGCACCACCCCACAGAAGAGAGAGCTAATCAATCGAAATATTGTTGAACATGACATTATAAAAATGACCTATGAAGTACTGCTCACACGGGGGGTGGGGGTAATAGGACTCCTTAACATTTCTTTCCACATTCCCAAATTCTTCCACTTATTTAAAATATTGCACAACTATATTCTAAACCATTAAGTAAAAAGTTTTTAACTTTAATAAAGGTTAATTGTGGTAAGAAAAGATTGTGGTCTTGGAGATTCAATACCCTAGATAGTAAGTATAAATTTCCCTCTCTCATTCTGTGACTATGTGTGGATTTTTTATACTATATGGAAAATACTATTTTGTAAAATATTAGTAAAAAGTTTATAAAAAGTCCTGAAATTTTTAAAGGAAAGCCCGGACAATCACATATAAGTTATTAATAATTATTTTCCTTATGATTTTAGTCTTTTAAGATATATTTTAAGATTGTTGTTGTTCTTGTTGTTAGGTGCCGCCAAGTCAGCTCTGACTCATAGGGACCCTATGCACAACAGAACAAAACACTGCCTGGTCCTGTGCCAGCCTCACAGTGTCCTATGCTTGAGCCCATCATTGTAGCCACTGTGTCAATCCATCTCCTTCAGGGCCTTCCCCTCTTTGGCTGACCCTCTGCTTTACCAAGCACGATATACTTCTCCAGGGACTGGTCCCTTCTGAAATATGACCAAAGTAGGTGAGACAAAGTCTGGCCATTCTTACTTCCAAAGAGCATTTTGGCTGTGTTTTATGCAGGACAGATTTGTTCCTTCTTCATGCAGTTCTTGATATTTTCAGTATTCTTCACCAACACAACAATTGAAAGACATTAGCTATTTTTTAGTATTCCTTGTTCATTGTCAAACTTTCAGATGCATACGAAGCTATTGAAAATACCATGGCTTGGGTTAGACTCATCTTAGTCTTTAAATTGATATCTTTGCTCTTTAACACTTTAAAGAGGTTCCTTGAAGCAGATTTTCCTAGTGCAGTATGATGTCTGATTGGAGATTAAAATAACCATATAAATGTAAAATACATATATTTTGATCATATAAAATTACTTAATGTAGCTATGAACATAACTTAAGTTGAATAAATCAAATAAAGACATGATACCACATTTTCTTCTTTCTCCTAATTAGAAGAGGCTATCACTGAAGGCCAGCCAAAAATTTTTTAACAAACATTAGTTGTTCTGGAGAAAGTACATTACTCATTTTAGAGATCAGTTTGGAAGCCAGTTAAAAGTTTCTGCAATAGGAAGAAATTATTCATTTATTAATCTTGGTTTTTAGCTATCTGGCCAACAGACTGGAAGAGATCTGTATTTGTACCCATTCCAAAGAAAGGTGATCCCACAGAATGTGCAAATTATTGAACAATATCATTAATATCACATGCAAGTAAAATCTTACTGAAGATAATTAAAAAATGGCTGTAGCAGTATATTGACAGGCAGCTTCCAGAAATGCAAGCTGGATTCAGAAGAGGATATGGAATGAGGGATATCATTGCTGATGTCAGATGGATCTTGGCTCAAAGCAAAGGATACCAGAAAGATATTTACTTGTCTTTTCTGGACAACGCAAAGGCATTCAATTGTGTGGAGCATAACAAATTGTGGATAACATTGAGAAGAATGGGAATTACAGAACACTTAATTGTACTCATGAGGAACGTGTACATAGACCAGGAGGCTGTCATTCAAACAGAACAAGGGGATATTTCATGGTTTAAAATCAAGAAGGGGGTGTGTCAGGGTTGTATCCTTTCATGACACTTATTCAATCTGTATGCTGAGCAAATAATCCGAGAAGCTGGACTATATGAAGAAGAACATGGCATCAGGACTGGAAGAAGGTTTATTAATGACCTGCGATATGCAGAAGACACAACTTCGCTTGCTGAAAGTAAGGATGGTTTAGAGCACTTACTGATGAAGATTAAAGATTACAGTCTACAGTATGGATTACACCTCAATATAAATAAAACAAAAATCATTCCAATGGGACCAATAAGCAGTATCACAATAGATGGAGAAAAGATTGAAGTTGTCAAAGACTTCATATTACTTGGTTCTACAATCAACACCAATGGAAGCAGCTGTCAAAATATCAGATGACATATAGCACTGAGCAAATAAATTGGCCGCAAAAGACCTGTTTCAGGCTCTGAAAAGCAAAAATATCTCCTTGAGAACTAAGGTTCTCCTGACACAAGTCATGTTATATTAAATTGCCTCATATGCACGTGAGACCTGGACAATGAATGAGGAAGATCAAAGAAGAATTGATGCTTTTGAGTTGTTGTGTTGGCAAAGAATGCTGAAATTACCATGGACTGCTAAAAGAACTAATAAAACTGTCCTAGAAGAAGTACAGTTGGAATGTCCCTTGGAAGCAAGGCTAGCTAGACTTCATCTCACCTACTTTGGTCATGTTGTCAGAAGGGACCATTCTCTGGACAAGAATGCCATGCTTGGTAAAGTGGAGGGTCAACGAAAGAGGGGAAGGCCCTTAACAAGATGGATTGACATGGTGGCTGCAGCGATGGGCTCAGGTATAGTAAAGATTGTGAGGCTGGCACAGTACCAGGCAGTGTTTTGTTCTGTTGTACACAAGGTTACTATGAGTTGGAGACAACTGATGGTACAGAACAACAGCAATAACACCAATCTTAGTTAAAATATAGATTGACAAATGCAAGAGCCTACTGGACTACCTTGACCAGGAAGCTGTCGTTCGAACAGAACAAGGGGACACTACATGGTTTAAAAACAAGAAGGGAATGTGTCAGGGTTGTATCCTTTCTCCACACTTATTCAATCTATATGCTAAGCAAATAATCCAAGAAGCTGGACTATATGAAGAAAAACGTGGTATCAGGAT